TAAAATAGATGACTGAATTTAATAAGTTTATATACCCTTAGAGATTTTGGAGTTAGTTGTATGAGCCTCTTAACAACGCGATAGGCAATGCTCTTCATTGGTAGTATAATGAGTACCTGGTTTTACAATAAATGTAAGACCAATTGTCAAATGCGAGCAACAACAGATTTAAACACAAAATATTTTGCAGAAGAAAAGGATAAAGGGTAACCTTTGGACGAGTGAATCCTTGGTCCAGAAATGCATCATCAGAAAGAATTTCCTCTTCAGCCGTCTCTTGATGCTTGGCAATTTTATCATTCTTCTTCACAAGATCTCTAGTTTTAAAGATGTGATTCAACTGCATAAGACGAACTGATTTCAATAAATCCTGAAGAAATGCTAAGTCGAATGAAAAGAACCAGAAACCTCATAATAAAGTGTCTTAGAAAGGTAATTAAAAGTATGCACCCACGGAATGCATAAGGTATGCGTCCATGGCACTTGCGTCTTCTTCAGGGCCTCTATTGTAAAAGGGTTTCTTGTTAGAATGCAAAATATCCAGATAGCTGTTGCCTACATAATCACATACTATAATCAACAGCAGAGCCATAGAAAAGACGAGCGATATACAATACAAAAGAATCCAAACAAAGGTGATTCCCAGAGTCCCAGACGTACAAATGGAAAAGAATCTTCTTCTTTTAGATGATTCAAAATCTCTTCCTCCAGCATTGTTGTATAATTGAAGCCAGTGGTTAAATAACTTAGGCTTGAGGCCATAAGTTGCATCACTCTGCATAGCCTGCAAAATAAAGTTTTTAGTGCTACTGGTAACTAACTCCCAAGTTTGGAAGGCAAATTTTTTGCAACAATATTTTTCTGTGGAGAAGGTTATAGAACACATACACCAAGGAAATTTTTTCTTGTTCCTTTCCATCTGCAATTTGGCATGTCAAAGGCAGGTGCTTCCCATTTAAATTTCCACTTGCCTTTTGGTAAATTTATCAGTTCTTCACTGGATAATTTGTGGTTAAGGTGCTCACTAAATGCACTGAACAACACGTGTAAACAAGCGTAAATAACAAAATCGTAGTGGATTAATGAGCACCTCCTGCTGTAAAGAAACTTTAACAGAAACCACAATCTGAAATAAATTTACCTAGTCGACGAAGAAGCATCTACAAAGGATTGGCCATTGGTACTCAACTCATGCTCCTCATCTGTTTCAGAATCGTCAGATTCTTCTTCCTTGCTCTGATTATCATTGTTCTCCTGTGCCATGTTCTCAGTAAGACCTACGAGAGTTTCCTGATCTTCCCCTTCAATAAAGACAAAGAGAAGTATAATTAAAAACAAATGGTTGAACAACCATGCAACTATTGCAAGAATACATAAGAAACAATAGGCCAAGTAACTGCAAATGAGTTGAAACAAAATTCAAGTTTACCACCAATAATTTCCAATACAAAGTAAGGACAAACTTACCTTGAATTTCATCATCCTCTCCATCGATAGAGCTTAAATCCTCAGACCCACTGTTTTCCTCATCTTCCTCATCCTCATCTCCTTCCGTGTCGCTTTTACCTTCCTCTTCTCTCAGCCTGTTGAAAGATTTGGAAACCAAGATTTAGAACTATCTCCCTCACAGCCAGTCAAAATGCAAAGAGAAACTTATTTCATATCTCATCTGAGCAAAGGCACTAAAAGATTCTCTAGTTAGCACAGAGTCATGGCATATAGCCACTATTACAAAGAGCTCTAAATCAACCAAAACCTTCTCCAAACAAGCGACATTGTCAAAGTTACCTTCTTTTGTTCATATCAGCAACAACCTTGTTAGATGAACCGAGAGATGCCAGCAATTTTTTGTACGGTGTCGGTTCTCTGTAAACAACTGCTTCGGATTCGTCGTCAATAAGGTCTTCTTCAGATGAATCTACAATACACAATACCCAGAAGAGGTTAATTTGAGTTATGTACATACAATCTGGAAAACACTTGCATAAACAACAATTATCTAAACATATACCTAGATCCGGACTGGAAACAATCGGCTTTTCAACACGCTTCTGCTTCTTCGTATCCCGTTTCTTATCGAATTTCTCCACTGGCCTATTATGCCTCTTCAGCATTCCAGTAGAGTTTGGAGCCATCGGGCTAAGTGGCGTTGAACCGTCAAGCACCGGAGTTAGGGTTTTGGACGAGATGGGATGATGCGAATTTCACGATTGGTCAGAGGGAAATCGAAGAGGATGAAGGAGCTCCGTTTAAGGTACACAACAAATGCCGAAGAAGCTTTTTTTTCAATTAGAAAGGGTTTAGGGTTTACCGAGTCCTTTCCTTTTCTGGTTTTGGTTACTTCACTTATGCGGTTGAACCGAACCGAACCGGGTTTGAACGCTGAATTATACGTTTCCAAGTTGGAGGAGTGGTGGGCTTCTTCAAAACGAGCCATGTTCACTGATTCAATAATGCAAGCATAATAACTCGGCAAGTCTCAGCTCCTTCTTGTCTGGCCTTTCATGACTTTTGCACTTTTCTCCTCGTTCTCTTCTTCTTACAATTCCCATGTGGCACCTTCTCATTGGCTATCACTTTTGTAAATTGGAAGATTTCGCCTCGACTTCTTGTGTAGTGTAACTAGCTAGAAACACTTATTTACTTCTTTATATTTTTGTGTTATTATCTATTTAATTTCTCTCAGTGTATCCATATTTGAATATACATATACCAGATCTGCTTAATTTCTTATTTTAAAAACTTTATAAAACCTCTAAATTGTATAGCCTTTCTCTTCACATTTCCACAACACGTCACACTTGCACCAAAAATAAATCTCTCTCCCTTATTACAATATGACAACATACGGCACCAATCCGACTTCGGCTAAAGACTTAGCCCCAAAACTCGAGTACATCACACGCGCCAATGACCACAACTACGTAAGACCTGGCCTCGCCACACGCCGCCCATGGAAGCAAATGCTCGACTTCCACTCTTTCGACTTCCCGCGCAAGATAGCCACCGTGCTGACTAGGATCAGAGCCAACACAGTCTATTTCCAAACCAACTACACAATCATTGTCCTCTTCTCCGTATTCCTCAGCCTGGTTTGGAATCCCTTCTCACTCTTGATCCTAGTCGCTCTAATCGGCGCGTGGCTATTCCTCTACTTCCTCCGTGATGAACCGCTAGCTGTATTCGACCACGAGATCGACCACCGTATAGTCCTTATCCTCATGTCCGTTCTTACTCTCTCGATCCTTTTTTTAACCAATGCTAAGCTCAATATCGCGGTGGCAGTTGTGGCCACTGCAGTGGCTGTGTTGGCCCACGCAGCTGTTAGGAAAACCGAAGATATGTACCAAAACGGCGAAGAAACGAGTCGTTTAATTCCATAGGGGAAAATGATCTTCCTCTGTTTAGACTATTTACTACGA